TATATATATATATATATATATATATATATATATATAAACTTTTTAATGAATTTTTAGATCTTTATTAAAAAATATTAATAGTTAAATGTTTTGTTAGCTGTATAAATATATACAAATTTTGATTAGAAATATGTAAGTTTTTAGCCAATAATAGTTACATCAGATTTAGCATTTCATACATTTTAGGTGACATTTTGGACGTGTCTGTTTTGTCAATCATTTCACATGTATCAAGCATGTTAAATGTTTTAGTCATTTTAGATGTTCCAGGCATTTCAAGAGTTTCAAGTGTTCTAAGCTTTTTAAACATTTTAAGTTGATCATAAGCTTTGTTTTTTTCTTCAAGTATTAAATCTATATATGATTTACTTATTAGATCATTACTTGTTATAGATAGATTTTGCATCAAGTCATTAACAATCTTTTTTGCGCTTTTTATATCTTTGTCCACTACCTATACAACGTGATTGAAATTGAGAATAACTTTATTAATAAAGATTTGCAAAGTAATGTAAACTCACAAACCTTTATCTCTACAAAATCACCTAATGTGTCAACATTATCAACATTTATTTGAGCGTCATCAGTATAATATGCTTGTCTTTTTTTTTTAACAATGCCTATGAAACCATTTGATGTATCCAATATATCTCCAAGCAATACAAGTTTATGACACAGTAATGAGCCATAGGAAATACACACTTGTAGACCTTTTTCATCAGATCGTTTATAAGAAACTAATGCTCCATATTTAAACTACATAATGAAGGTAATTTTATATAAATTATAACATATAACATATATATACACAATACAGTTGTACATACTCAGAAATGATTTGTTGAAGTGATGTTTCAACAAATTCATTTCTGACTGAAAAGATTTATTCAAAATATGCACACTCTCTTCCTTTAGTCTCTCAGGAAAATGTAAGTATATAAAATATTCTTATAAGAAAACAAAATCTGCGTGACTTAAATTTTAGAAAAACTTTATATTAGTTTTAACCTTTTTTTTTATCATGTATAACTGACATTTATATACCTTATTAAATACAACTTAATATAACCGATAAAATATCATTGACGTGTAATAAATATATTGATTAGAAACTTGACAATTATTCTTACTTCTTCGAATTCCCGTAACATCAGCTTCCCGTTATTTGCTGCATAGAACTTATCTATTGATTTGATAAAATATGTACGATGTACAATCTTATAAATTTTCGCTATCATATCGTCGTAATCCCGAATTTTAACTTTTATCTCAACGGTTAGCATTTTTATTTGCAGTTTCCACAAAAAACTAATTCAAAAAAACTAAAATTCTTGAAATACTCTAATAATTAAATATACTTTCGTCTGTTATATTCTTCCTGTAGATTTGAAAATACTGCGGAAAATGTATGTATATATAGCAATTACGTAAATTTAGAAAAAAAAACAAACAAGATAACATAGCTTGTGTATTATATACAAACATATCTAGTACAAAAAAGAATGTGAGATAAATATGTTTATTTCTTAAGTCATCTCCCAAAATTATGAACTTGTTATTGTAGTTACTTAATTATAGAATATTAAACAAAAAGAGCATGAAACAGTTTAAAACGAAATAGCGTTGAATTGTCATGACTTTAATACAATAGAGACAAATTTATTGGCTAGATGTTATTTGTAGCAAAGAGAAACCTGAAAGCG